AATATTTTTCAATGTTTTGAAATTTTTAAACTGAGATAATAAGTAAAGCAAGCTATCAACAAGAAGTAAAATTTGATGTGCAAACAAACCAGTAATGTAAATAATTTCCAGTTACTCCTTTTAAATAGCCAGAATACTGCCTAAAGTTTATTTTGTACGTCAAACCAGGCAAATTCCATATACGTGCTCTTTCCTTACGTGTTTCTGTAAATTTATAATTTCCGAGAAAAAGCGAAAAATTATTAAGCAACAAAGTTCTTCACTTTGATTGTGATAAAAATTTCTTAACTATGTAATAAACGCAACAATATTATAAAAAGTTATGCCTAACTATTATAAAAATTAATAATACTACACAAACATTTTCCAATTTTATTTAATTAAACAATTGTTTAGGCAATTTAAATGAAAATCCAAACGTACTAAATAATCATAAAATTGCTTACTTTGTTTTGGTTTTGGAATGCTATATTGTGGGTAGAGAGACTTTGGAGTTATATCGTATGTCATTGTGGTATTGTAGCTTTGTTCTTTCATAAAATTAGTGAGAAGCTGCAAGGATGGTCCTCCTCTGTCTAACGGAACAAAATGACCAGCACCCTAAAGATTGGTGATTACTGTAGCTTGATACTCATTTTTATAATTTGCGTGATTTAAAAATTCATACTGAAAATTCAACATTCAAACAAGTTAGGCAGCAGTTTTATACCTTAACCGTAACATAATCAATGTTGACATATATGCCATAGAAGTGTTGATGATAACCACCAATTTGTGCCAGAAAATTAAAACCTTGTTGGTAATACCATTCACTTCTATCGTCTTGCAAAAACGAATTCATTCTGGCAAAATCCAATACAAACCATTCATCACCCAAGAAGTTGCAAACTGTATCAACATCACCGTTGTAAATTAGCATTCGAAGAGGATATCCTGAAAAAGTTTCTTTTTATTTTCTAATATTTTTCATTCGTATAAAACTACAAAGTAAGGCTACAATATTAATTATTGGTTTCTGTAGATTAAATAAATGTTGAATTATATGTAAATTTGACACTAATTGACGAAAATGCAAGGAGTGATCAGTTCATGCTTTTTTATAAAATATATTTTTGAAAAAGTGCTTATAATGATTAAACTTTTAATACTTTTAATATGTTCAAATACCATCTACAGTAAACTACATATAATGTATTTCAAATAAAAAAAAACCGTAACATAGCTAAAATACATAATGTGAT